AATGCATTTCAAATATTTTACACATTTTTGAGATTGAGAAATAAATGTGTTTACCTAAATATACCTGCAGCGACAGCAGGCAGCAGTAAGGGTGCATTTCAGTAATGATGCTGCTTGTTAATCGGCAGATTTGTTAAGTCAAACATGCATCAGAGTATATCCACTATGAACGATGCTATAAAGCACAGGCAACGTGGGCTTGAGGTTTTCAGGTAGTGTGCATACATCCTGTTTTATACATCCTGCTGATTAATACAGCAGCTGATCCGAGTCGGTCCATGTGGCACCGTTGTGAGTTGTGCCGGTAAGCTCATTGTGTTCTGTGGGTATGAAACCAGAATAGCATCCAGACCATAAGTATCTATCACGCAGTTACACATCTCCAGGCTCTGTGCTCTGGTACATTCGTCTGTACTGACAGAGCATGTTTACTTATCACAACTTAAATAATAGCTTCCATTAAAAACGACATCTTAAACACCAATAACTGAAGCTCTGTTGAAAGTTCATGTCACATCTTTAATTTGAAGTGTACATGATTATGATAAACTGGCATCAGAGCAGATAACCGGCCCTTCTCTTGGCTGAAAAGCTCTTTTCCTGCTTTTGCCACATTTAGGATTACAGAATGTGTGAATTTGATGTATTTCTCTGGCTCTGAGTACACAAAATGCTTCTGTGTACTTCTGCATCCACCCTGTTGCTCCTGTCAAAAGCTAAATTATTACTAAATGTCAAAATGCCAGCTCCACTGGCAGCGATACGCGCCCAAACCAAAACAGAATCTGCTTTTCTTGCTTTCTCTCCATACTTTCTTTCTTCCAACATTTTGATCGAGGTTGATTTTTGTTTCAGTAGCCCATAAAACTTTGTTATGCAACTCTGCAGGGTTTAGTGTTGTGTGTTTTTGCAGAATACAGCCTGATTGCTCGGTTTCAGAGGCTGAGTATAGGCTTGTGATGAATGCTCTGGACCCTCTTTTCATGACCATCCTGTAGAACATTCCTCACTGATGGATTGTGGTTTTCACTACCATGAAAATGATTTTCCACTCATGGCAAGATTTGCGCTCCTCGGTCCCTGTGGTGCGTTCTTCTTGAGTAAAACTCCTTTTTCGAAGTGTACGAACTGTTAATTTGATAAACTACTTCTGATATCCCTCAAAAATAGTTTTTGAACATAACTAATCTTCTTTGCATGTGTGGTCAACTCTAGTCCTGAATCCACACTCACAACTGTGAGTCTACACAAAACCTCAGCACCAGTTTAAAAGCATTTGTGCAGCAACAAGTGCCCAAATTCTTTTACCAATAAGAGCTTCACAGTTTTCAATATAGCTAGCCATTACATAGAGCCTCACGACTGATATATACAGTATAGATAGCTATATAGATGGATACTCGCTGGCCACTTTATTAGATACACCTGTTAAACTCCTCATTGATGCAAATATCTAACTAGTCGTTCACAAGAAAGCGAGGCGATGCATGTAGGAGTGTAGACATGGTTAAGACGATCTGCTGAGATTACACCGAGCATCAATGGGAAAGAAGTGCGATTTTAAATGTGTTTGCTGGCTGGTCTGAGTGTTTGGGAAACTGTGGATCTACCTGGACTTTCTGCACAACCATCTCTGGGGACTACAGAGAATGGTCTGAAGGCCAGCAGCAAAACACCCACTCGTTGCAACCAAGCTATGAACAAGACCACACCTGTCAGCTAAGAACACTAAACTGATGCTACAGTTCACTCAGATTCACCAAAATTACACCATAGAAGATCGGAAGAAGTTTTCTGTTTGGATGGTAGGGTCAGAATTTGGTATAAGCAAGACAGCCTGCCTTGTATCAGTAGTTCAGACTGCTGCTGATGTTGTAATGGTATAGAAATTATTTAGGAAACACTTTGGGCCCTTGTATCAACTGATGCCCAACCAGCTGAGTATTGTTGCAGACCACGCCACTATCTTCATAACCACAGTGTATCATCTTCTGATGTCTGCTTCCAGCAGGAGATCGCACCATGTCACAAAATACAGATTATCTCAAACTGGCCATCTGTGAAATTAGCATCATGGATGTGAATTTCAACACGGACCAAAATCGTTGAGGAATGTTTCCATTGATTGTTGAATCAATGGGATCAAGAATTTAGGCAGAAACAAAATCGACTGATTGAAAAGTGGGATAATGTGTATGACCTGGATGTTCACATCGACCCTGCTAGCCTGTGAAGGGCTGTCACTGTAAAATGATGCAATGACTCAAAGCTCAGTTTTAACTAAGTGCAGTTTTGAAGTCAGAGCTTTTATGATGTAGTATTTTCACTTAGTAACAGTTTAGTCATAGCAAGCACAAGTTAAACCCTCCACGCATTCTTCATCCAACACACATGAACTACAGTTTAGACTGTGGAGTTTGTCTCTGTGTCCCAATCTGCTGCAAACCTGAAGTGATGCTCTCGCATGATTTCAGACTCACTCTCTCTCTTTCATACACACACAGAAATGCGATAAAAAAAGAATCCCAACCATGTGCAAAAGTAAACTAAGAACTCTTTTATTCTTTTTTGTTCACTTTATATATCTATCTTTAGCTGTTAACTCTTTTTTTTTTCTACACGAGTCCTTTAAAAGTTTGTCATCATGCTAGGTGCAGCTTCAGTGTTGGTAGTACATGCAAAGTTGTAGTTTTTGTCAGGGGAGGGTTTCACACATTGGACAACTGCAGAAGGAGAAGAACGGAGAGCAGTGGCTCTGGAAATCAGTTAACAAACACTGACCGATCTGGAGTCACCAAACAAAAGAAACATAATAATAATAATTATAACAAATAAATAAAAAAGAACCCCACCAATGGGTGCAGCTGCAGAAGGGGTGGGGTGGAGGGGTGCACTGACCATCATTGAGGATTCACAAAGGGTTAAGCAGAAGCAGTTCAGTTCTTGCAGATAGTTTGATCCATCTAATCCATAAATGGGGACTTTGTCTTTTTTTAAATATATATACATATATATATATATATATATGTATAGAGAGAGAGATCATGACATCATCTGTTGACATCTTTAGTGCAGTTAAAAATGAAAACAAAATCCAACAAGCAGGCAGTCTTTAGGGGGAAATATCTATATTAAAAAATCTTTGCAGTTTAGAATAAACGAAGAACACCAACAGAAAACCAAAGGAGCAGAAGGGGAGAAAACTCGACACTCTGTTGGTTTTGGCCTGATGTTACAGGAGATATTATCAGTATTGCTCGAGACTTTGGTCTGGATCTGTTTGTCGGGGGGGCACTGGATACTTTTTAAGTTTTTAACTTTAACTCTACTCTGGGAGTCCCCGCTTCCTGCTTTTTAAATACTGACTAAAAACAAACAAACAAAAATACCCCCAAAAACAACCAAGTATAAGTGAAAGGTACATACATGACATCACACGTGCCAGCTGGTGGATGCCACTTTGAGCTTAGGCACTTTACAGTGCATATTTTTTTTTAAAACATGGGTGGCTACAATGGGGATGAAGCATGTTGACCCCGGCAGTGTTAGTGCCATGCTTTATGGTGCCCAGTGAGTGACACAGAATCACAAATACTTACTTAGCAACAGTAACATCTTCACAATCTCGGCAACAGAGGAGGGATCAAAACATTTTGGGGTTTTTTTTGTTCTTGAGGATGAATCGATTGTACAGGTCAGAAGACGTGTTGCCTTTGTTGCTCCTTATTTACACAGAACTAGTATTTTGCAGCAATAATGATCGCAGCTCACAATATACACATGATCACTGATTGACAGCTACAGATGCACTAAAGAAGCCTGACATTTGTATTTCTCCCACTTTGAATCGAGCACATCGTTTTTGTACAAAGTAAAAGTAGTACATTGTTGTGCGGGTATGCAAAAGACCAGACAGTAAAGGGTCGATGCCACAATGTTAGATATTTGAAAAAGAAAAGGAAAACACTGGGGCAGAAACACACATGGACATCATCATCTTTGGTGAAAATCTGACAGGAATATGCTTAAAGACAACCTGAGCACACACATTAATTGCACGCACACCCGCACATAGAAATTTCCCGCAGCTGGAAATAGGAAGTCACCGCGGGAAAACATCCTCATTTACAAATTGAAAACATGAGGACATTTATGCACTCGGGGTGTACAGGAATCGAGTTAATTCACAACATGGAATATGCAGCTAACATGTTTCTTAACTGGGCGTAGAGAGGATGAACATGACATCACACTGTGATACATTTTAGCATACGACTTCTGAGTCTTCTCATGCAGGGGTTGCATTTTACTCTGCTGTTCATCTAGCTGATTCCGCACACAATAATGTGTAGGGATTGCATCTAGTGATATACTGTATGTGCTGCTACAGTACATATATACCATGTCATCTGTCAGCCATCATTGTTCCCTGCAACAAAATGACATAATTACAAGATCTGAGAGGTCCGTTATACTATCGCTATGTTCACTGTGGCATTAGCCCCAGTCCTCAAATGCCTAAGGGTGAAAAAAATAATTGTTCCCATCCCCCCCTTCCCTCAAAAATCAAACAATCAATCACAAGAAATCTAGAAAATAGAGACAAAGATTCAAAGCTGCCTGTGGAGGAAGATGCTGGCATTCATTCAACATCATTCGCCGACGGACGCACGGGGCTCCCCATCCTACGTTTTCCGCTCTGCAGGCCTCTAAGTTCAGTTTCCATGCAAAGCCATGGCTTGGATCAAGAAAAAAATACAACGTGCAGCACCTCCCAAAGCTTCTCCCAAGACCCAGGCGAGGGGTGGGGGGGGGTCAACGTGACCCTCACCCCTCCCTCGCATCTGTTCAAGTATGAAATGAGAGTGACATAAAATAACTTAAAAATCATACGCACAGATGAATGAACACGACATAAAAATAAAGGAAAGAGCGCTACGACGCTGTCACACCTGCCTTATAAACTCTTTCCAGTCAGTGACTCAAACAGGGCGACAACATTTTGTAACATTTGTATCTTTAATCCAGAGGATAAGAACACGTAGTCTCAGCTAAGGAACGGACCAAATAACACACATTAAACGTTACAACGCTTATGTTTTTCTCAGCACTAGATTTACATCTTGAAGATTTATGCATAATTAAATTAAAATTTGTCAGTGTCATTAATTTTAGCAAAGATATATATTGTTTTAGGTCCATATACATTGGTTTTAGTCAACAAAGATCCCGTTTCTAGGCTACATTCCGACCTAAATTAGCTACTCATTGATCAACAAGACAGAACGGTATAATTTCAGCTTCCACATCTACGCCATAAGAACAAGATTTCTCTGGGAAACAAATGGGTGCGTGTTAAACGAAAAAACAAAACATGGATTCCAGTTTTACACAGTAAAATCAAAGTAAAAAGTTAAATCAAAGACACGAGGCTGATGTCCTCTGAGGAATGAGAATGATGAGTTACGGATGGTTTGTGAAACGGCGCACGTTCATTTCCACAAATACAAAGTGCACGTGCGTGCTGACACATGGGACGGAAGTAAGTGTCTGCTTGTTAATACGGGGGCTCTCTCAGGCCTGGGTCAGGGAAAGAGGAGGGGGTGGTTAAGGAATCCCTCGACTCCCTCAGGAGCTGAGGGTGAACTGGTCTTGCTCGATGGGCTTTTTGACCCAAGCCCCCAAGCCGGCCTTGTGGAAGGCCTTGATGAGCGCCTGCTTGGCAGAGTGGTACTCTGTGGCCGCCTGCTTTGCTTCGTGGTAGGAGCTCGGCTTCGACACCTTGATCCGCAAGATGGACGACAGCTGAGGACGCAGAGAAAGGAAAGTAAGCAACAGAATAACAGAAACAAACCAAAAACAACCACGCATTAATCTAAAATCTCAGCTCCTACCACACAAAGAAAAAGAAACTTGTTTGCACTCCTTGGAAGTCAGGCTCTGACTACTAACGTGTCTAAACGTTAAATTATATTATTGGGAAAGTGGACGGAGTCAGTGGGTGTATGATAGCAGGGAGATGTTCTCACACACACGTCTCAGCACAGTGCAACGCACTCCACATCACAGTCATGCCAGAAAGCGATGCTAATGTTAGAAAAAACTGCTCCTTGAGCCGATCCTTTGGACTTGCTGTAGCCACAGACCCAGCTTTCATTCTCAACATTTAAGTTGAGTCTGTTTGACACCAAAGTTGACCTTTGCTCTCTGTGCGAGGTCAATAGTGACATCGCTCACGTGCAAACAATCAGAACAGAGCTTCCAAGGAATGACCTCGTAGCTTAGCTGCGATTCCTGAGATGTCGTTCAGACGTGTACAGCTCGTGATGCTGACTGCAGCTGACCTCAGTCTGTTTACGACTCACTGTCACAATCACTTATGTAAGAAACTATAGTTATGTCGCGTGACTCAGCACGTCTGCGCCAGTATTACAGCGAGGTGCGTGTGAATGTGCGGTCTGGCCTCGCCGTACCTTGGAGTGAAGGCGCACCCAGCGGCTGTAGAGTGCGTGTTTGCAGAGCCGTGAGGCGCGGCCCATGTCGTCCTTGCCCGTGGTTGCGTTGATCACCTCCAGGGCCTGGTCACCCACCGTCCAGTTCACACTGAAGTTTGGAGCCTTGCCTGGCTGCCTGGCTTCAGCATTACTTATACCTGCCATTAAAAACAGCCAGAGTCAAAGACCGAGCGAGGCTGCAGGTTAAAACAGAGACATTTTTATTTATAGGACCTCCGCAGAATGTAAAAATCTTTTGTTAACATTACGTCAATGCCAGAAATGGAATAATTGCACGGCACCGCTCCAGCGAATTCCCACAGCACCCAGACTTTCTATTACCTCATGTGTGGATGTATTAAACAATGAAGGAAGTACCCAAACATGGCAGTCCATCCTTCCAAAGGACAGCTGTTCCCACAGCTGCAATATCTCTAAACAGGACAGTTTTTCTTCTTCTCATTTCATTTTGTCTAACTCAGTAGAGACAAACAGTAGAATCCACCTGGGGGGGACTGTGAGGACAGAGCTCGCTCTCTTCTAACACACTTCAGGGCTTTGGCCTCCACTGTATCTCAAGCATAAATGGGAGATATATGGATGCCATAAATCCCTGTGTCTTCCTCTGTGTGTGTGTGTGTGTGTGTGTGTGCATTAAGCTCCTTGGTTCCATTTGGCAGCACTTGTGGCAGAAGATGATTTAAAGGGGATGAAATCCTCAGCGCTCTAACGCCACAGCACTTTCACCGCTAAAAACTCTCTAAAGCGGAAAAGGTTAATAACCTTCCACCATTATCTCCTTTACTTGCCATTTAGAGGGAAGGAGCAGGGTGAGCTAAACGTACATCCCGGCTGTGTGATATGAAGCCCCATGTCATCCCCCAGGATGTAAAGGAAATCTCCACAGTGCCACTCATTCCACTTGTTTGATATGGACTGCCCTATATTCAAGGCCAGCACAATGAGCAGTGTAAGCAGTGCTGTAGCAGTGTGGTATTTTCTTGACCTTGAACTTTGCTTTACGTGTTTGTATCAGCGCACAGCTGGGCAAGAGAGGCACGGCCAGCTGGATGTTTTGGTGGAAAACAGAGCAGCAGTCCAACAAAGCTGAAAATGTCAAAATTTTAATTAAACACTTGCTCGTGTTTGATGGAGCTCAAGTAGGAAAGTCAGAAAATGACTCTCAGTTTCTTTAGAAATGAATGAATGGATTTTTATTCAGTTTGAAAAATTCAGACTCAGAATATAACACCGTTAGGCGGAGGCGGCTGCTGCAGAATAATCACCCACACCTGTAAAGAGCATCACTACCTCCTTTCCCACATGAGAGCTAGTTTTATTTTTCTGCATGTGTATTTTTAATCTATTTATTGTTTTGTGGTGTTGCTCCTTCACTTCTGCTTCTCTGTACAATCTAACTCATCAGGACAATCCAATTTCCACAGCAAAGTGTCTTCATCCATTTTATGAGGGACTGATTTCGTTTGGTTATCATCCACGAGCTGTTTCAGAGCACTGACGAATGATGCTGACAGCATATTTTTAAATATCTGCGACCTGTGACGTGTATTCAGAATCCTTCTGTCTGTTTTGGACTTTGTGATGATGCTACATGTACATGAAGAGGAACAGCAGATGTGCTTTTGAGACACTTTCAAGTTAAATGTTCAGGAAACAAAATATATGGTCTTCTGCAAAGCTCGCCCAATGGGGTTTGATGATTATTACATTGTTACATCTGATGGCAAAACCAGTGAAAGGGTACATGGCTCAAGTATCTGGATGGATGGATAGATGACAAGATCTGCACAGATCTGTAATGGTGAAGAGAGATCTGAGCGTGAAAGTGAGGCTGACAATTTACCGGTCGATCTACGTTCCAACCCTCACCTGTGGTCACGAGCTCTGGGTACTGGCAGAAAAAATGAGGTCGCAGATAGCAGCAGTGGAAATGGAAATTTCCTTCATTTGGTAGCTGGGCTTTCTCTTAGTGACAGGACTCTGGAGAGATTATATCTCTCGGTTGACTTGGGAACGACTTGGTGTGCCCCACCCCTCAGATGAGGTGGACGTGATGACTGTCTGGGCCTCTCTGCTTAGACTGCTGCCTCCGGACCGGAATTGTCCAAAATAACCGGATTTAAGGATTTCCGGATAGATTGATGGACAAGTTTCTCTTTAATATATACGTTGCTAATCTCATTAGTAATCATAAAGTGATGCTTGGTTTTTACTTTAGAAATAAATCTTACTTTACTAACTTGTGTTTTTTCCTGTAATTGATTATGATGATATATTGTATATGCATGCTTCCTCCTTCATCCCTACATTTTATTACAAATGCAAAGTCTCTGACTCACCACGACGTTCTTTATGGTTTGTGGTTTGGCCGTCTGGTATATTTTAGCATATTTTTCTCTATGAAGCCACTCTAGAACTTCCAGTCTACAGCAGGACCTTTCTCCCAGCTACACTCTTCTTAATGGTTGCTTCTGGATGCACCTATAGCTCTGACAGATCTGGGGAAAGCAACATTTTCTTCTAATGTGTCTTATAATAATTGACAGTATTTTGATTTGATTTTGATCTTAGCGGGACATCCTGATAAAATAAAGGTGACAATAAAATGTGATGAAAGGACCCTGAGTGCCACTGTGCAAACTTTGCCTATTATTGTTTATTATTCATTGCTCATTAAACCCATTTGGCAACTGTCAAAATCTGTGACAGCTGTAACTCTATAACCATAACTGGACTTTAGGCTTTTTTTTCTGAAACACAAAAAAAATTGCAAGAAAAGGAGCGATGAATGGATTAAACTTTTGAAATCTAGTTAAAGATTTATTTTTTCAAACCAATAAATATCTCTGTATAAATAAACATCGTCTGTAAGCTGGTGCTGGACACTGGGCTCATAGCAGCTCCACATTTGCCAAATTATATGAGTTACGTAACGATGTTAGTGGCGACTGTGGTTCGCTGTCTGAAATAAAAACTTGTTTGTGTGTCTTTTGTCTACTTCAGTCTGAAATTAAAGACCCAGTGTTTCAAAAACAGCCCACTGCTGTCACTGGAAACTGCATTTATGTGGAAAGAAGGAGCTTCTACGACAGCTGCGACGGCCAAAGGCTTTGTGCAGATGACTTATTGAAATCGTGTTTTAGAATCAGTTTTAGTAACAAGGAAATAATTTCTCTCTTAGCAGATAAACAGAGCGCGATAATGAGTTCAAGGACGTTGAAAAGATGGTGCAGAAAGCTGAATCAGAAGGAAAAAACACAAACTTGTAAGAGTTGGCCAAACTTCTGCAAAATGAAACAGCTGGGAATGAACAAATGCAGGGATACCGACAGGTACGCCCTCATGCAATAAAGAGGATGCATGTTATATCAGAAAAACACAAAAACTCGCCTACACAAGGCATTTTGTAGAGAGTAGCAGCAGCAAGAACTCTCTGCATTTCCACCTTTTTTCTCAAAATTAACAATACATTTTTTTTTTCTTAATGCGGCCCTAATACTCATTTATAAGCTTCAAAGCAACTGTAAATAAGCAGGGCTGGAGCCAAACATTTACATAATAATTTATGACTTCTTGCAAATGTCTTTATATACAATATTTTAAATGAAAAACAATATTAAGTGGAAAAAGTGGAGCAGAAATGCAAATGGAAAGCAGACTCATCTTTCCTCAAACACAGCATTGTCTTACAAAAACAACCAAAGTACAAAGACTGCATGCTCTGCATCTAAAAATAGAAAGTTGAAAAGAGAGAGAGAGAAGAAAACACTGCAGGAGTCCTGGTCTATACGGCCTTTTTAAAAGGTCAAGACAATGCTGAAAATTTACACAAAATGATAAAGCTATTCAAATTCCACAGGAACTAGGTAAATGTCAGCTCAGATCCAAAGCAATAACTGTCTTCCTGTTCCTGTGGGACTGACCGACCAGCAGGGTGAATTCATGTGTTTACTGCTTAGGATTAAAATCTTCCTCTTTGATATTTAGACAGCTGCAGGTCGATTGGTAAAGATTAACACAGTGATCCTCTCAACCCGTGAAATCGTGACGACTGATCTATAACAGCAGAGATCTGCAGAAGGAAACTTGATGATGCACTTTTCTTACTTTCCCACCTCATCTACATCAAAGAAGGCGAGGGCTCTTACCGCTGAGAAGAGGCCTGTTGAGGGTGAACTGCTGGGGCAGGTCTTCGATATCTGCGATGCGCTGGTACATGGCCCTGGAGAGGTGGTCAGCATGGTAAAGGCTGCCCAGGATTATGCTGGAGAAGTAGATTGGCTCTGTGAAGTAGCTCATCAAGGAGCCCTGGATGCCCACCACGTTCCACCTGCAGAGAGAAAAGCACACGAGCTTCACAACAACTTCAACGTATCATTGAGGCAGTTTTAGGATTTCAGTGTACAGGCAGCACATCGCTGTAATGTTCACAGGCTGGCTGGAATACACACAAAAACAGAGTTAATACTGCATATTAGTACATGAACACTGAGTCCTATCTGACGTCCTACAGCTATCTACAGTGTGAGGTATCCAATTCCATTTTTCCCAAACTTCTGTTTATTTCCAGGCTGTGCCATTAGCCATCTTTCCCCAGTCACTCTCCTATTTACATGCTCTGTGAAGCAGTGCCTGCCCTCCTCGCAGAAAGACAAATACATAAGGAGCCAGAGAGAGAGAGTTAGAGAAGTTTCTCTAACTCTCTCTCTGGGTAGATGGAGAAAGAGTCAGTAAGGGTGTGAAGGCAAAGAAAAAGCGAGAAAAATGAAGAAAAATAACAGATGTGGGAAATGTTAGAGAAAGGTGGAGCTGAAGGCTGCTGGCATCTTATACAGTGCATTTTATCTGTCAACAAATCCCATCGAAAGCTCAAAACCCAGTGATGACCTGCTTTCCAGACCGTGCACATGGCATTCAGCTCCAAACCCACCGAATTCAAAGACATACATCTGCAACATTTGAAATGTTTAATCAAAGAAACTGACAGGTTACTCCTGCTTTCACTCACTGCTTGGGTATGTTTGATGAGGTCTAATGCTCCAAAACTATTCGGTAATGTTGAAGCAGCAAAGCAACTGGTTTGTCTTTTTGGCCTCAAAATATTCCTGTTAAGTTTTAATCACTAAAACTATTTAGATGAATGAAAAGCTCATTTTTAGGACAGAGAAATTATGGCAGAAAATCCATGTTTCAGTCACACCAGAGGAAAATCAGGGAGGCAACCTCGTTACTAGGAATATTTGGAGATTGCTCGGTCCCTGTATTTAATTAGTTTATGAACAGTGACCGATAGCAAATAGTTGCATGCAATACCCTCAACCTCTGGACTCGACTGCACAGTGCAACCTATCTCCAAACAGACAGATTGGTGATGGTTTGTATAAGCCTGCAAACCATAATCTATAATCCAGTTTTTAAACAGAGACAGATTACTAATGCACTGAACCGCCTGCAGCGACAGGCACGACTTGTGCGCAACATGTCAGATCTATGAGATTGTGAACGAAAGCTTTTAAGGTGAATTTCTGTGTATGTACACGACAGCAGCTTTGCAAGAAACGGCAACAGAGTTGAAATTTACACATATTTATCACAGTTAATCTCTGTAACTGCCACTTTGACCCAATTCAGTCTCAAACTTACATCACACTGAAATGTCTTTTCGCCATTTTATTGCTGTCCTGATGCATCAAAGTCACTCTGCAGATGGCTGAGAGTGGTTGCAGACCTAGTCTCAGCCTTCGAAGCAAACATTTCAAAGGCAATGAGACTGAACGTTCATTGCACACAGTCACAATAATTTTGTTTGTGTTGTGCTCTCCAGCAGCATCAAAACACCTTTAATGTATCTTCTAGAGTCCAGTCGAGTTCACTAACAGGATGTTTGTGAGATGAGGCGTAGCAGTAATTACATCCAATAATATGATAATAAGGGTGGGACCAATACACTGTCTATATTTATACTCAAAACAAAGCATCTATACTGTGATAGTGTTGCAGGAACACCATCATCAGTTACATCAGTTCCAATGATGACTCGTGATACTGAAGGTTTTTGACAACACAGCTACAAGGCACAAAAAACCCTAATGAACAAAAGTGTTGGTTACAAAGGTGATGCTGCTACTTAATTGGACAACTTCATCACTGGCGATGGTGTTCCCGTTGCATTCGCTGACGTTGAGAGAAAAACCGTGAGTATCACTACCCTTTGTCTTTAGGAGAACATTACAAAATGAGGGTTGGCTAGCTCTTCTCATTCTCCCTTTTACTTCAGGCAGACTGTTTGAGAGTCTGTGAAATTACCAATGTGAACCCAAAACAATCAAAAATAATATGCACACATGCAAAAGACCGCAGGCTACGCAGAGGGTCCATTGTTTCCGTATGCAATATTCTGTGTGCGCGTTTGTGAGAAGGCGTGTGTGGAACGGCGGGAGGGCAAAATAAAATATCTAAATTCACTGTAGCTGCGAGCAGGAAAGCACACGTTCACACATTCAGCCCAGTCAAACAGCTTTATAATATTCTGTGCCGTACACAAACTGCTGCAACACACACACACACACTCACGCTGTTTCATCACAGCAACATGGTGACACATATACACCTGTATCCCCTCTGAAGGACACACATACACACTGTGTAAAAAGCTACAACAATCAAGCGCGCTCACACAGAGTTATGTCGTGAGAGGCATTCAATTTCATTCCTGTCAAACATCACTGTATTGCTTTATCGCTTTTTTTCCCTCCCCCCAATACCGTGCTTTGTGCGTCTACACACAGATTGTACACACTCAAATGAGAACAGGGTCAGAATAGGTCAGAAAGCACACGTGATGAGCTGTTACAGCAATAACAAAAGAAAAGAGGAAAACCGAGAGAACAATTTGCCTTTATGCTAATGAACTCATTCAAAGGACAGACACGAGGCAGAGAATGGCTCGTTCATAACGACGCCGTGTAATCAGAGGAAAATGAGGGGAGCGAAAACAATGTGTAACGAGGGAGCACTGGGGGCACAGGGCACAGCCTGCCCGTCAGTAGCTGCATTGAACGGCAGCCCTGTTGCTAACTATCACTCACACAGGGACAGAGGCAGGTGGGTGGAGGATTTACGACACGGCTAATAGCTGTGTCATGAGGAGGTCGCGCCGCAAGTCGTGCATAATAGTTTCTCACAGTGGAAGAAAGATACTCATACCTTAATTGCTTACATGCATTTTTTTCTGCTTCTTGATTTCAGCACTGATCTGTAACTCGTGTCAACTTTAAAAATTTAGTCAGACTTAAAAATGTCCAACTTCCACCTCATTTTGCCCTCTACTGACTTGGATCCCTCCACGATGGACCACCACATAAAATCTAAATCACACAGTGAAAGGGCAGCTCACGTACTGCAAACAGCATTTGCCAGTCAGTAGACATGTCCCTCCTCAAATACACACTCGGCATTCAATCACTCGGTCCATTCGGGCAAAATATTATGATCCAGGGCACAGAAAGCGAGAGGAAGAGGAGGAGGGCTCACGAGAGGAGTTATGGAGAAGCTTCACCGTTCATCACGAGAGAGGCAGAGTGCTGCCTTGAACATGGACACAGACTAAAGATGCTATGATGTGTCTGCAAAGATGGCCCCGGGGGCAGCATATCAATTTAGCTGTCCCTGACACCCCGGGAAGGCTTGAAATGGCACGGTGGATGGACAAAGCAAAGATAAAGCGCTGTACAGTCGACTGAAGCAGTGGAAAATAAAACACCTGAAAAGAGTCTCATGTAACACATCTGGTCAGGGCTGAAACATGACGTGTTGCTTTATGTAGCCTTCGCTAAACTAAAGGTTTCTAATAACACACAGAAAGCAATTCAATCATCATATCGGTCTAAGAATGGGAGAAAACCCAACGGGTAATGCAAAGCCTGCAGGAGCATGACTCTACTGATATTGACATTTCTGTCAATATGTCCACGATGTATGGAATTGTTTCTATTAATATAAGTCATCATCTTTAGTGACCTGGAATCACATATACTGTATAACAGGAGACTTGTAGGTATGTACAGACGTGCAGAAGCATCTGTTTTTTACATTTCTGATGGTGTTGACTTAAACCTTCAGCTTCCAGCCTCCTTCATGCCAGAAACCAGTGTAGTACTAGTCGCAGTTCCAGTTCATGGAACTGAGAAAACTGATTTCACCTTTGCTCTAAAAGTTACACAAATAGAAGTTAACATATTTAATTGTGGCAAAAAAAGAAAAAATCTTCTTTAAAGTGTACTTTGATATTTTGGTTACATTTATATTGTTTTATCTGTTTTATTCGTGAGAGGCTCCTCGGTTTGTACTTTGTACTTAGAAACAGAGTTTCTGAATATTTCTAAGGACGACAACTGAACTCGATTTATCCCAAAATACCTCGCAATCTTGTCACTGCAGGACATGGTGAGTAATCGCTCCCCTTGAAGAACACCGTCCCAGGTCTGGATGGTGTTGCTGGACCTTACAGGGATGGTGCCCTCCCCGGACTCGATTTTGGTCCTCAGCTGACCCCGCGCTTTCCGGTTAGGATGTCTGTCTCCTTGGTCTGGGTGGCACATAAGCAGAAGCACATAAAGGAAGAGAGGAGTATGAGTTTAATTTACTCTTTTATATAGTTTTATGTGACACTTGTTTGATGTTTGGAACATGAAGTCTGTTGGTGATAGAGTGATACAGTTTGTTTGATCAGGAAACATTAAAGAAAGTGAATGTGTGGGTGAATCTGTTTCTTGGTGTCATTCTACTTTTCTTCAGTTAAAAAGCAGGAAAAATGAGGAAACGCTGTTGAGTGGGAACCTGTTGCAGTAGCTCTCTTTTGCTTTGAATTTCTTTTATTTTCATGATTTAATGCAAACTTTTCCTTTATCAAGTCTTGTCAAGTCAAGTTTTGCAAGTCTACTTGTGTTTTTTTCCTTATATTAGACTCTTGTTAATGTATATCTCCATGAGCTGTTTGCACTGATCACCCTATGGCCTGCGGCGAGGCCTGAAATCCCGGAGGAGCTACCGAGGAAACGACTGGGCTCCAGAACAGTTTCAGGGATGATCATGGGGAATGTGAGGTGTTTGGACAATAAGATGAACAACTTGCTGAGTAGACCCAGGGGGAACACTGTGGGTGTAGTCTGATGTGTTTCACGGTCTGCTGTGGTGAGATGTTGCCTCGCTCACACTTCTTGGACCACGGTATGAACATTACTGGCTCCGGGACTTTTTGGGAGGAAGATTAATCTGAGCCGTGAAAAGATACGATGGCACTAGTTGCGACTGACAGTTGGTTTAATCCCAGACGTGTTACTGGTGGATCGATTCAGCCATAGCAGGCATTTATAGAAAATATGAATAAATTATCATGAATAAATTAAATGTGTTTTTTGTGTGTTAACCTAAAAGTTTTGACATTTTCGGGAACATGAAAAACTTTCCTCCATCAGCTGATGTAGCGCTGATCCAACTGACCATGGCTGTGATAGGATGTGGATAATTAACGGATCCAGGCCGTCCTCTGCATATACAACTGGTTCGTCTAAAACCGGTTAGAGCTCCACTCCCACAGTGACTGATACAGAAAATCTTTACCACAGTTTTTAGATTTACTGAATCGCTGTTTTTTTGCCTCTGTTGGTGTGCCCCAGGGCAGCTGTGGCTACAATGTAGCTGCCAACACCAGTGTGTGAATGTGTGTGTGAATGTGTGTGTGAATGGGTGAATGACTGAATGTAGTGTAAAGCGTTTTGGGGTCCTTAGGGACCAGTAAAGCGCTATACAAATGCAGGCCATTTGCCATTTTTTGCATTTGCTATTTAACCGAGTTCCATCTTTAGTGTAACCTTCTTCTTCTGTGATTTTAAATGTGTTTTATTGAAGTTTTGCATGCTTTGGCAGCTTTATACATCTCATCCTTTGGGATGAATAAAGCATTTGCCTGTTTACACTCTTAAAGTGTCAGTCAAGGTTTTGACTTTGACATTTTAAAACAGAAGTTTTGTCTGTTGTGGTTGTGTTTTTGTGAAAAAAGTTATAAAAAAAAGTTACATAAAACCTCAAATGCCAAAAAAATTACTTTCCCCATTTCTATGCTAATATATACAAAAATCTACCTCCTCAACATGCAAAAACAGAAGCTTTGGTTGAAATCTGTTACACCACCGATCCACCATATGTATTCAATTCAGTGTTTTTGCACTGCAGCTAGGGCTGCACGATTTTGCATAAAATGAGAATCACGATTTCTTTGCTTAGAATTGAGATCACGATTCTCTCACGATTTTCTTTTCCAGTATAAATATTTATTGCACTTATTAACTGCACATCAACTTCATAACAGTTGAGACTGAACATAAAAACAATAAATAAACATAAAAACAACAAATGTCTCACGTTTTGTTGTTGCCGAAAAATGTTGTACTGCTTGAAATTCCGTCTCCACCGTTGCTCGACGCTGCGTGTATAGAGCAGGTAGTACAACAATAGAAAAATAGTTGCGGGACGGCACTGTGTAGCGTTTGTCTAGGATGTTGATCATTTTCCTAAATCCCTCGTTTTGCACAGTGTTGATGGAGCCATATCTTTGGTCAGGTGATAAGTGATAGCCTCAGTAATGTCTTTGTGCCTGCGGGAGTTCGACAGGTATAGGGAAGCGCTGTATAAGGTTCCTGTTATTGATGTTTGGGTGGTTGACCGGGACGGATTTTCTCCTGTCACTTTCTCGTCATCCCTGATGTCTTCTCTGTTGTTTTTTTAGCAGCCAGCTTCTGTATCACGTGGTATAAGGCTCCGCCCTTGTCATTTGTTGAGCAGGAAGAGTGAGCGCTTGTTTTCATGCAGATTACATCCCGGATCAAAATGCGGTACAATCGTCGTCGTCTTTTTTTTTTTTTTTTAAACGTTGTCATTTGGAAATTAGATCGCACATAAGTATGAATTGAGATCGCGATTTTCTAACGATTAATCGCGCAGCCCTAACTGCAGCTTAAAAAAGTTGCATCCTTGGCATGTACATTAAGTTGTTATTCAGCTGTAGAGTTTTTTGTGAGCACTTAATGGTGGACAGACTTCCTCATTGAGAATTCTGACACATACAATTGTGAAACTTAAGTATATAATGGACTGTATAGTAAACAGGAGTGATTTTTGCCACAGTCAGTTATTCTACCGGCAGTAAAAATGGCTCCCACCCAGCGTGACCCGTTATTTATTATTATGTTATCAAAGTTTTGTGCTGTTCCACCAGCAGGCGCCATCTATTCAGTGACTAATTGAATGTGGCTGTTTTTTATTCAGCCTGCCATGTGCAACGGAAGACTCTCTGACAGGAGTAAGAGGGAGGTTAATCAGACAGACAGTGTGGGTGTGCTGGGCGGCAGAAAGACTGATAGCGGCAGACAGAGAATGACAAAAAGCTATAATTACTACTGCCTTGTTTAAATGTGTCTGTAATGTGTATTTGGACAGTGGAGTAAAATTCTAATTAATTGAAATGAAGCACGAGAGGAAAACTTTACAAATTAAATTAAATTAAAAAAAAACAAAACCTGTCGTCAACACTGAATACTAAACTGGACGAGACTAAACTAAAAGCATGTGAGAGCTGAGCTGGGGAGGAGACGCGAGGCTGCGTACCTTCCACTCCGGCCTCGTGTGGAGAGAAAATCCTGGCATCTCCACAGGGAGAGGTGCTGATGTAGAGGTGGAACTGAACGTTATCCTTTAACCTGTAGCCTCCCTTGTCACACAGCACAAATATTGATTTGTGGTAGTCCTCCTTGTTGTTGCTATAACCACGGATCAATGAGAAATTGAAACAGAGGTAGACAAATGTCACAAAACCTGTGTTTAAAACGGACATTCAAAGTCTAGAAGAACAGAGAGCTGCAGGATTTCATCAGATTATCAAAAAAAAATAAACAAATTGACACTGACCTGAGGAAGAACTCCAGCTGAGTGTAGAGGTACCTGATGAGCGAGCGTCGGGCAATTATCTCAGCGTGGCAGTCATTGAGTGCCAGGCCGCGGTCACTCATGTACTCGCCGTTGATGCATTTGGTTCCCGTGGAGACACAAATGACCTGTGCTTCCTTCACATCTGTGCCTGTTTGGAGGACAGAGCCGCATTAGGACTCGTGCTCCTAATGCAAACACTATAAATTCTGTTCTTATGCCCTCGAGAAGTCACACTGCAAACATCTACACACTAGCTTATAAGTTGTTACTGTAGCAACCACATGATGAGCTTAATTAGGTTTAATGTCCTTGTCACTGTGTTTATGCTATAGGCAAAGTGACGGCATGGAAAGACGTGTAATTGAAGCAGTAATTGGTGGGGAATTGTAGTTTGAGAGTGAGGCAGAAAGGATCGTGTAGTCAGGATAACACGTCAACGTGGCGCGGCATGCGAAAAGCTGAGAATCCCGAAAACAGTGATGCAATCATGAACAATTTAGCTTTCCAGTATTTCCAGTGTTTGCTATCTTAACTTCACTGTCTCCAAATATCTCTCAAAACTATGTCTAAAAAATGGGTTAGTTTATCGAACCGTTTCTGAGGATTCGGGGCAATAAAAAGTGCCCCGAATCCTCATCAAGCCTCTCGGCAATGAGGGGAACCCCCCCCCAGCTGAGCAGCAACGCACCCCTGGGGATGATGCTGAACCTTCCTGTCTTTGGCCTGTGGTGATAACGATGTGTGAACTGCGTTTGATCGACGGTTTCTTGTAAACCTGGTGGAGTTTTTTTTTATTAGAAGTTAAATCATTTCTGAATGTGCTACACGCGACTACTTCTGCATCTGTGTCGTTACTAAACCGCAATAATTCAAAGAATGGACACAGTTTCACTTCTTTAAGTAAGAAATTCATAGAAAATAAAAAGATGGATACATGAATTTTTTTTGCATGTTAATCTTTTGAAATTTGAAGAAACATAAAACATAAAAAATGTTGGACTTGAGCCTGGTTTTCATACCCTGTTTCACAAATTCAGCTATGGATAAGATTCCCATTTCTTTTGAATCAAGGCTACCAGAATTCAGCCTCTTTCAGCTGTTTTTGCTGTCTGTCACCTTGAGTGAATTATCTACCTAATACAGCTGCTAAATGTTCCACAGCGTTTCAGGGACTGTGTCTGCTTTCTTTTTGGTACTGAATAACTCATGGACGCAGTTTTGTTTCCAGCTGAAAGCAGCTCCCTCCTGCATCCGACAACACTGTTACAAAAGCAGCAAGTGATAAAACAGTAAAGGTGGAGGCCAGACAGCTAAATGACTGTTTTTATTTAATATATGCACAACCATCACACATATACATTAACTGAATATTTTTATTATATAGTTATTATACAGGTGCAGCGATTTTTAATGATTTTTTTCACATCAGTCGCTATTGCTATATATCATGATAACTAAAATCTTTCTCTTAAAGTTCAAGAAGACCATAAATAAAATGAAATTAAAATGTATTAAATGCTCCAAATTAATAACGCACAACATTAATATAAAAAAATGAAAATAATTTTTTGTATAGATTTAAACAATTTAAAACTGTTGGGGATCAACCCCATAAATAAATAAACAACTACCATTCGGTACATACTCACAGCTCAAATTCCAATAAAAGAAGAACATAAATAAAACTGACATATTCACTCGGCTGCGGTCGGCTTATGCTCTGAGGCAAGAAATAAATAAGCAAATCAAAATTACAGACTGTGCGAGTGCGGTACTGTCAGGTGGGCAGCGTCTGTTGTAATGCGTGCTACAGGAGAGTGCGTCTGGGAATGTGCAGTCTTGTATTTTGTGTTTTAAAGGACGATTTTGCTTCAGATGGCAAAAACTATCAGCAGTGTTGCCTAGCTTTATGGAAACTTGTTTTTAAAATAGTAACAAATGGATGTTAAATTTGCATTTTTATGATATTATTAGATTATTAATATGATTCTTAAATAATTTTACTTAACTACATTAAATATTTGAAGTACTGCCTGGCTGGTTGAAGGCTGATACAAAAGAGCGGATGTCAAACTTATTAAAGTTGTCACATATGATTAAAAATACATAATCAAGGACACATTATAAGGCTATACAAATATAAAATCTTAACCAGGACCTACCACGCTCATTATTATTCTTTTACTCTAACAGCTTCATATGAATCACTGTTCAAAATACAGCCTTTCCATATTTCCTTGGCATTTTTGCAGCTCCTCTATTCATCCTGGTCTGAAAGAAGGTATATTGACTCCGCCCTCTTCTCTTTAAGCTAACTTTCATCTGTAAATGTAGCTTTTAAACAGCAGGCGGGTGGAGTTTCTGTTCTCACAGCTTGAGGTTGGTGTTTGAGATGACCACATTAGGGATATCGTCTCTAAGTGAGACAGAAAAACCGTAAGCGAGCATTTAGAGCACTTTGAAGCCTGAACCTTGTAGCTCACAGGGTTTTTTTTTTTAAAAACATGTTTACTATGAGCATCCAGCATCCAGTAAATATGCCTTCAGCTGTATTTGTTGTCAGCTGCTTTTTCTGGGCTTATAACCACAAATTCCCTCTGATGATGCTCTGAAACAGCCTTTGCTGTGTACAAACGTGCCAATAATCTCTTCCTCCACTCTTACCTGTTGTCATGACGACGCCTGCCAGCACTTTTCGCCGTGCGTGCGGGGACGTAAAGTTGTCTGTCAGCTCACTGAACTTATCCACAACCAGGCGAGAGACCGCATCAGCCAGAACCTGGAATTACACACACGCACACACACACAAAGGCAGACAGAACAACAGGAAGCCATGCACACATGCAGACACACAAACACGAGCTTGTGTCAGATATGTCAGCTTACAAAGCATGTCTGATGTTATCCTTCCCTAGAGCACTGTGTACCTGTCACAGTGTTAGCTTCGGCTTCAAACAGCACTCGGAGCGTTGAAACAGCAACAAGTGAAACTAGGCTGACCCCCTGAGGTATACCGAACCATCTTTCAAGCAACGCTGTTTGAGTTCTGTCTGACAGCTATAATTTACCATCTCCCTCGTGACAGTGAATCACACGGCAAAAAAAAAAAGGAAGAGCAAAGCAAACAAGCAAACCTGAGCAACAGATGCTCGGTGACACCCCACAAAGGTTTAAAAATCGAGTCCAAGTTATGTGAGAACTTCACAAGTCTTCTGCTCATGGACACGGCTCCCCTAGCTGCTCTTTATTCATCACTAATGTGATGGAAAATGACAACAAGCATGAGGAGAGATGACGGCTGGGTGATCGCAAATTAAGAAAATTAGTCCCAATTTTACTTCCCTGCTACTTCAGAGTCACCCGCTCGTAGCCAGACCATTTGACTTTTTCCGAACGCCAAGGTCATCTATGACTTTTATTCTCTAGGGGGGTAAAAAATACACAACTTTCCTCCGCGTTTCACCAAAACATGTCCAGAATGGTTTGGTAATAAGCTACTGTCTAATATTTTCTTTGTTGCATACTGAATCATTTCTAAAAAAAAATTAATTATCATTATTTTTTTTGGTTTGGTTGGAGTTTCTATGCAGCGGCACATGACCCATTATACCATGGCAGATGGAAACAGGCTGCAGAAATTAAATATCAAGCGACAGAGAATTAACCCCTTAGCAGTCGGACGTACCGCCCACGGGACATTGGATGGTTTAGGGGACTAATTGGACTGCTAAGGGGTTAATAGAGCAATTAGTGGGGGCGCTATCGTTAAAACGGGCTGCTTGCTGAACGAAACAGTTGACATGTGGAGAGCGCGAGTAAAGAAAAGGGAGGAGGCTTCGGGGAGGGGACTGTTGACAGTGTGTCGTGCTGATTAGCTTTGCTGCCTGTGTTATCTCTCTTCACACACTGCCAGTCACCTCTACAGCGGCATCTAAAGGTACCGCCTCCCTTTAGTCTCTGCTAACCTGGTGTGAATGAGATTTCAACGATAACCTCGCAGAACAACAAGAGCTTGACAGGCGGATCAATTCGAACTCAACAAGCTACAGTGGAATGAGTTCACTAGTCAAGTTATTTTATTAACAGCCTTTAATTCAAGGATCTTTGGCCAATATGTAGTGTTGGAAGAAAAGCTGATTTTTTGAAACTTCACACCTCCGTTTGCTTACAAAACCAGTCTCAGTTTTGATTAAGTGATTAGACTTCTGTCTTTGCCACTTTTGCAATTTTTTGAGTTTTAAAGCTACGTACAATTGACAACAACTGACTTAACAAAGACAAATTTGGCCTGATATGGAATTGGATTCCCTCAAAGGCAAGTAATGAAATGGAAAAGATCTAGGATCTGCTATCGCTCCCTGGAATTAAAAACAGTGCATAATTTTCTGAATTCTTCCAGCAATAATCATGTTCTTATCTGCAATTTCTCAAAATCAACACTTCATATCGATCGCCCCACAGTGTAACTCATGACCTATGTAAGCATTTAGTGGAACAGTATGTGAGGAAGCACGAGTCTATTGTTTATCCTTATGCATTATAAAACAGTCCTGCTTAACTGATACCCACTGGTGCATCTGATAGTTTTATGATGAGATATGATAATGCACATGTTTTTTTTTAAATAATAAGGGTTTTAATAACAAGTCTGTCGCAGATATAAATGTATAATGAAGAGCCTAAAGGCACGATGCAATCAGAAAATCCTTAGATGACGTGTTTCTTTGGCTGTTTGAATTCAAAAAAGAAACCTCTTACCTGGGGTAGGTGAAGCTGCAATCCCTCTCTTGGTATGGGTTGCCGAGATGGTGTCTGGTCTAGCTGCATGTTGAACAGTGCAGACAGGGCGGCTTGCGCTGCCCGGGCTTTAGCCAGCTTCTTGTTGCGCCCTGATCCTTCAAATGTCTGTGAATCCACTGTTACTGACATCACAAAATTCTTGGCGTGACTCTCACCGCTCTCTGAGACAAAGTCATATTTGAGACCCGGCCTAAGCTCATTGAGGATCATTACTGGGTTTTTGCCACTGGAGGGCGAGCTGAATGCAGATGGAGGGGGCAGTGGGGGCTGGACAAGGACACTGCCAGGTGGTGTGGGCAGTGGATACTCCCCTAGTGAATTTAGGGAGCTGCTACCGTTGGAGCCCAGATAGAAGGATTCTTCCGGCGCGGCTGGCGTCTCAAAGCCGTTGAAGAGCATGTCGGGGAAGTCAGCTTGATCCGATGTAAAGTCTGTGTTCACTGTCAGTGTTCGGCCCATGGCCAGATGCGCCTCTGAAGCGTTGGGGAACTGGACGAAGGAACGCAGCGCTTTCTCAGCTGCGTTTAGCTTAGCCTTTTTCTTTGTTGGGCCCATGCCTTCAAACATCTGTCCATTGACCTCCACGGTCATGACAAACACTGGCGCATGCACCGGGCCTGTCTGAGACAGCAGTTTGTACTGTAGACCTGGTTTGATTTCATTCAGCTGCATCAGAGCGTTCTTGGGCAGGACCGGGCCCGGTGTTTTCTTGCGCTTCTTAGCCCGGAACTTGGAATGCGTGTGGCCATTGTTTCCCTCTTCTAGCGGTCGCTTTCGACTGCCCAGGCCACTGCCATTGGGGAGCTGTTCAGCCACTCCCACCCCGTCTTTGCAGGACACGTTGTCCAGGTTTCGGTTTTCCTTTACGTCGGTGCTGCTTGAACCTGCGGTGCCCAGAAAGAGTAACTTACAACGCCTTCGTTGCAGGATCTTGTAAATGCAAAATTTATAGATTCCTTTATCACTCTTTGGAACTGAACCAATGATTTGTGTTCCTGTGTCAAGTTGCAAGAGAGGCTGAATTTTTAACTACCTCCAAAAAAATTAAGATATACCTATGATATAACTACAAATAGCAGAACATCGGTACATGTTTTGACCTTGAAAAATGCTCAAAACTGTATCTTTGCCAAATTTCTGAATAAAAGTATTGCTTCATTTTATTTATTTTTTTGATCAAGGAGTCTTTAAATTGGAAATCAAAATGTTACTTTTTTCACAATTAAAGTTTAAGATTGTTATACTAAGAAAAAGGATCTATTTTTCTGGTTTCACAGTGTTGCAGGTCTCAAACATAAAGACACACATACAAGCACACGTATCGATACTCAACAGAAACACACTCACACGCCAACAGACCTTTTTCCTATTAATTTTTAATCGACTGAATTCACGTAGAAAACCCACAAATGCTTCCAGTGTTCAGTTTTAAACCACAGCAGTGAGATATATACCGTTCTGGGGAACACATATCACTGAATCCAGTTAACAAAGTGGATGGAATATTGGCAAAAATTTTCATTTATAACATCCTTCAGCAAAGGCTTGATAGGTTACTCCTTGCGGTACTCAGGAGAAAGAGAGGCCGCAGTGTGCATGAGTGGGATAGTAGGTTGGGTTGAGGGAGTGCAGGGGGAGTAGTGCAGGGGGAGGAGCTGAGGACCAGGCAAACAGGAGAGTACATCAAAGAGGCAGAAGGAGAAGACTCCACCTACTGCAGGATCCTAAATTCTTGACTGGTGACACGGTGGGAGGTTAAAATGCACTTTATTCCTTTTAGATGAGATTTTTTTTTAAAGAATCACTGTCATATTTAAAATGAGGACAATCTGAATTGAAAAACTGCTTCTAATGAGGTGCCATTCATAAGACCCTGCGCCTCTGAGATCCCCCCCATGGAGCTTGTCAGAGAACACAGTGTTTAGGTTGCAAAATGACATGCCGGTACCATCTGCATACTGCGACTGACACGTCTCAAGGCCAAAAAATAAATAAATAAATAAATAAATAAATATTCCTAAGATCATGAACACAAAATGCACATCCCTCATTTTATGAGCTGAAAACATGCAATATTGTTTGGTTTGTTCATGCATTCTGCAAAGTGATATTCATGTTTGGCAAATTAAAGGAGGTGGGCAACTGTGCACAGCTGTAGCCAAAAATAACTATAACCTATTAGAATGGAGATAATCTGTGAGGTACGGCCTGTGCTGCTGATCTTTAACCACCACAGATACCGCTGCGTTAGCCGAGTGGTTTAGCAACCAGGACATAATATAAACTAAATACATTTTAAAATGTACAGCGTGCAGCGCTTGGCTTATTTCGTTTCTTTGCAATTTCTTTGCAAAATCTGATGTTTTCAATGAAAATAATTGCATAAAAGATACAAATGCAAACATTTAGTAGTAATAAAACCAGTCTTGCTAGCTATGTTTCATGGTATGAATGGACCAAAAAGCTACTAAAAACATAAAAAACCCAAAATGAGGAGTCTGGCATGCTGCACACATACAAGTGGCACATAGAAAAATCTAGAGCTCCCTTTCCCCCCACTCTAAAATTATTTATTGAATACATACAATTCACTGTATTCGTTCTATTCACTTTATAGTATCATAACTTTTCAGGATGGATGTACACTAATACTCAAGAAGCGATGGAGCAACAGCCACGATGCCATGCACTGAAATATGGCACACACATGCAGTTGTGATCATTATCATGCCAACGTTTGTGTAATCAGCATCCATTAGTTACACAAAGAAAAAAAAAAAGAATCCCATATGCCCGATTCTTTCAGAGCTGAAATCCTCAGCGTGAACCAAATACTGCAGTCTGTTACTGCAGCTTCACTCGAAGAGTAACTTGTTTGTTGAGGTTTTGATTTGGGATGATTCATGTGATTAAAGAATTTCGAGAGCTGCTAAGGTTGTCACATAAAAGCTAGGAATTCTTTCATGCTTTCCTCTGGTGTTCCCTCTGTGTTAAAGAAACGGGGCTCTGTGAGCTCGGGCTGTTTTATCTTCAAATTCATCTTTTGACTGGCAGTAAAAATGTAAGAAAGGGGCTTCAGAGGCTGTGGGACACAACAAAGACTGTTTTGCAACTGCTTATTTGACTTAATGGAACAACATAACATGCTTCTTTGCAGGGCAGAAACAGCAAGTATGACACCACTGTTCATTAGAATCGGAAGTTAGGGCTCTACAGGGATGGCAGCTACCTTTGAATATGAGCTCAAAATGGTTGTAGGTGTGTGGAAACGAACTCTGTCAAGTGTCTCCGTGCTTTCTGAGCCTCGGCTGCCGAGTTCAAACCAAAGTGTCTAATTAAAGTTCAACAAACTGGAGCGGAAAAGATTTTCTAAAGCAAGAGATGGAGGTAGAGAGAATCTGAAGTGTGGCCTGGAGCACCTCAGATTTAATGATTAGCTGTCCTCTAAAAAGTTTCAGCGGCATTAGCGATATTTATTTGCGTGTGAACGTGTTGCTTTGTGCCTCGGTGAGGATAATTCACAACACGAGTACGAATGGCGCTTTGAAAAAAAAAAAATCAGTTTTAATTTTCATCAGTTTTGGTTTGTCCTAGCATGTCAGATGATTCGCTTTAAAAATGTGGACTAGGCGCTAGAAAAAACACTTGCGTTATGTAAGCAACCAAACTGTGTCCACACTGATTACACAGCAGAGGAAGACAGAGGGACGTAAAAGGGAAGACACGCAGGCGGACAGAAAGAAGGGAAACAAAAGTACAAGCAGACATTTAAATGTACCGCACAGACAGGAACACGGACAGACAGACGGACAAAGAGAAAATCCGAGCCGACTCACTCATATTCTCTTCCTCATCCACATCCATGGCCACGGGTTTGCTCTGACCCGAGAGCAGCCTCGCACCCGCTGCACCTGGGGGAGGACAGGAAGGTGGACATGAGCACAGACAGAATGATGCACGTAAACATATTCAAAGAGCTCGGGCAGCTATGGCCATGATAAATTTCTAGCACACACGCACACAGAGAACCGTGCACACATTTCACTCTGTAAGTAGCCCCTCATGTAGACATATAAATATTCAGAGACTGAGCGACATCAAGGTGAGAGAGGAGGCCAGGGCTGACAGGCCTTAATAGCAGGAGCAGTCTATTGTGACTTTAATATCCCTCCGATTAGACCTCATTTCCTACTGCCTGCTGAGAGATATACAGCTAGTGACATGGCCAAGTCACTCTGCTGCCACATATACACCCACAACTTATCCCAAGGTGGAGAGTGCGATTAAAGCCCTGTTAAGCATTACTTTCACGCTAACATAGAATCAAATGGTTGCATGCAACTGAAATGTTGGCTTATACGGTTTATGGTTGCCTTTTTCTTTTAAACAATTTTCACTAGTTTTCAGTTTGTGGTGATTCACGAGTGTCTGATTCCATCCAGAGAAAAAAATGTGTGGACCAACAATAAGCAGGCATTTGGAACTACGTCACCTCTCTTCATGCAGAAAGTGTGAGGAGATTAAACCCACCACAGGACCAGCTGTCAGGGGCTGGGTCTGTGTTGAGTTATTTTGTGTTTTTGAATAATTATGAGATAATGTTAAGTTTCAGTATTATTATTTAGTGTGTCTTAGTTGAGTCTTAGTCTGGTTTATGCTTCTTCTAGGTCTCCATCAGTCTCGTTATGCCCGTGCCATCGTCTCCCTTACCTGTTTCCATTTACCTCTCCTAGCGTTTCAGCCTTGTTGGTCTTGTGTTTTATCCCAAATGTTCCATGTTCCATTGTCAAGCTTGTGTTGTTGTGTCTTTGTCTCTCCATGTTTCCCGTGTTATTTTGAAGGGTCTAGTGTTTCCATGTTCAGTGTGTTTAGTTTCACTTCCCCTGTAGCGTCATGTTCATTTGTGTCAGCTGTGTCTCCCCAGGTGTTTCCACTGTGTATTTAAGTTCTCTGTCTTCTTCTGTTCAGGGTCGGTGCATCTGTTGTCCTCCCTTCACGTCACGTCAGGTTTCAGGTATTTCGTGAATCTGTTCAGGTCATGTTTCATGTTTTCTTGTCATAGTTTCTTGCAAGCTCCTCAGTATCATGTTCATTTCTTTTGGTCATAGTTATCATAAATTCAGTTCAGTCTCTTCCGCGACACCAATGTTTTTGAGAACAGTAATCTCCGTATTTAGCTACTAGCTAACTTCATCCAGTCACTTGACAGGCACAGACAATAAGTAAATCGCACGTATACACCTCCACACACAAATATCAAATACAGTTAAATAATTTAGTTTCAAAACTTTGAAATATAAAAAAGACCAAAAAACAAAACAAAAAAAATGAGATGTTGGACAGTTAATATTAATTTCCAAATCCACCTTTTTACATCACATGAAAAAGAAAAAAGTTGTAAAGGCTGAAGTGAAAGCTAAGCACGAGTCCATCTCCCTGGCAAGACCTTCCAGTTCCTCCTGAGGGATCCTGAAGGTGATAGGTGACAGACTAAAATGAGATATATATAAATCTCTTCTGTGGGCTTGAGGTCCACTCTGGAATCTCCACGCAGTCGAACGTGGCTGAAAGACCTCCAGAGGGACCAGATGCCAAAAGACCACCTCAGCTGCTTCCCCGTCACAGAGGCTTCTAGCCACTTAAAAAAATGTAAAGCTAATATTTATTCTTTTAGATGTTTTTTGGTCTCCATTCGTGAAACAATTCGCGATGCCATCTTCATCAGTATTTCTGTGAATGTATTCTGTGTTCTGATTGCTGCTAGCAGGGTTTTTCATGCATACAAAAAGAGGTTTTGGCCTTGCCCCAAAGCAAAATCACCATGACCGTAATAAAAAAAACCCCATTTGCATCAGTTTGTTCAAGTGGGAGCTCATTTACTTAAGTATAAAATGTGTTTCTGTGTATTAAATGAGTAGAAGAAGAACCTATTTCAGCTTTCCAGCAGCAGGCACCACCTTGGACAGGTGGAAATCAGTAACCACTGACTGAATTTAATTTTATCAACCAGATAAATCAGTTTCATAACTACTTCAGCCTAATTGACATATTTTTCATCTCCAAAAATGTCACTTTTAGAAAACTAGGTTGGCTGGAAAGAAAAATACACCACTGGCTATACTGGTAATTACAGAATTAATAGTTGCAGAAAGTTTCAACTGTGTCATTCGACTGCACCATCAATTTCCCCACCAACCACTTGAAAACTCATAGAGCGACAGAAAATATTGCTGAGAGCAGGGCAGACGGGAGCAGCTGATGAAACAGACTAACAGACTTTGTTAGATGAGAAAAAGAGTTAAAGTGGCAAAGGGGGGAAAAGGCACAGAAGCACAAAGAGAGGGAAAGAAAGCAGGAAAAAGATGGCACTATGATATAGAACAGATTGTGCTGATTCTACTCTCTGCCCGCCTCCCATCAGTGCCCCCATTCCTCAGCTAGACACTTTCTTAAGCTAAACTAAATGGGCTAATTAATCTGGCCTAATGGTGGGTGACAGCAAATATGCTAGCACAATTATCACCCTATTAAAGATTCATATTCCAACCCATAATTGAAAATGAAAAGGTGGGGTGAAGGGAGGATGGGTGGGAGTAAGTCCAACCGAGAGGGAGATGAGAGTCATTTTTCTCAGGTAGCAGAAGCCAGGTGTCACGGCCCCCCACATGCTCATGTAGCAAGTGAGAATCACATCGACACGCGAGACCAGTTAGTTACAAGTTTCTACTTCTGCACCGCACCATGCTTTATGATTTTATGATTGCAGACTTTTCATTTTGGGGATTGGCCACATGTGGGTAAATGAATTAGAGTCATTTTGTCTAAGTACAAAACCAAATTCCATTCAGTTCACTTTGTCAGTCGTATTCCTCCAACACACACTGCTGTGCAGTCTAATTAGCAGGCGATGCTAATGCGTCTGTCAGTTTTGATTTTCAGATCAGACCACCCTGGCCATAAATCTTCTAAATATGTCTGTGCTCACGTCTGCTCAGTAATGACAGCTTCACAAAAAGAATTCATACAGTAAAAATCGACTACAGTTGTCAAAAATAACATTTGTAGATTTGTTAATGTGCCTAAAGTGAATGTGTTACTGGCCTATCAGATCAAATCAAATGTATATGTTTTTCTTCTTGTTTACAGTGATATCTACACATCATTTCCCAGTTTTGAAGATATCAACTTTATTAGAAATAACATGGTGCCCAAGGTCTCATCCAAAACCATGCATACCAGGTGTTTCTAAGTTAGCCACAGGTATAAATGCACGTGTTGTACTGACTCACCACATCATGAAGTTTACCTGTTAAACGTGTCCAAAGTAGATATTTAAACATGGCAGCCTTCTTAAGTTCAATATGGGCACCAGATTAGGGAAGAAAGGAGACTTCAGTGATTTTGAATTTGGTGGTTGGTGGAGTGTTTCAAAAACTGCTGATCTGCTGGGATTTTCCAATAGAAACAATTACAGAGAAAGCTCTGAAAATATATGAGGACAACACTAATAGTAACTATAAGAGCTATAACTATATAAGAGCACACTCCTGTCATCTAAGAACAGGAAACTCAAGCTACACTTCACATGGGCTCATCAAAATTGTACAACAGAAAATAGGAAATACATTTTTGATTTTTATGAGTCTTGATTTCTGACTGCGATATTTGGATTGTAATTTGGCCCAACCCATGTGGAAGCATGGATCAATCCTGCGTTGTATCGTTTGGTTCAAGCTGCTGGTTTTCCAATCACCAGATCTCGTTGGGATGTGGAGGAATTTCACACGTTTCATGGATGTGCAGCTGACAGACCTGTAATAAGTGTCCATGCCCTGAGAAATGCAGATGCTTTGTAGTGTGATACACTCTATAATTAACATTATAAATGGCTTGGTAGCAACTGTAACTATGCACTTTGCATATGACAGACAACTAAGTAATTTTTACCACTGGAATGCAGCCAAAAATATGTTTTATCATAAAATAAAAATTGATTTATATAAATCTTATTTAGTACCAAGAGGATTTAAACCCCGTATAGAATGAGCCAAGAAGGCTGGGAGAATATAAAAATAGGCATTCTTATGGGATTTCAACATTTCTCTTTTAAAGATCAGACATTTTTGGACATTAAAGCCTGCAAAACTAATCTGGACATTTGCATGCATGAGGATTTACAAGACACTGGAAAAGGCAAGGTGTCACGGATTTTGGTATTGACCGTTTTTTAAAACGCACATGACTGAAGTACAAAATTTAAAACGAACCAAAAGAACCTGAGCCGAGGGCTGCCAACTATCTGGCCTCACGCGCATAAACGATTGTGTGTCATCAAGTCGCGAGACGGTTCGGTTCCAGGTAATTCTGAGTGGACGCCAAGGGAGGCGGGGAAAAGAGAAAGATGAGAAAGATGAAAAGCCTCAAATTCAATCTGGCATGGTGAGAGGGACTAAGGGGAAATAAGGTGGTTTTGATTTGTCTCTCATCCCTCGCTTGCACTGTGACGGAGCGATAGAGCATCGCCACTGTGGAGGGAGTACCCGCAGTGGCCGACTGATGGGAGGAGGCGGGGTGAGGGGGAAGCGGAACAGGGCGATGGAAAGGTAAAGGTGAGTGAGGAACGCAGGATGAGAGAGATAGAAAATGCAATCCTATTCCAAGTAAAAGAGAATCATTATCTCCTTCAAAACAGAAGGAGATGGAAAGGTCTGCCCTTGGCAGGCTGTGGGGTTCATCCCATTTAAAACAAACTGCCTATGACGGCTTGTGTAGGCAGATTTTCCATCATGATTTGAGGTTTCTAACCAAATCATTTTGCTTGCATGGAAGACCGACTTAATAATTAACAAAAATGCACCGTCTGAAACTGGATCTCTATGCTTATTATATGTAAAATCTATCAAAGAAAATT